AAATATTTGATGCAATTATTTTTCAATTATTTAATCTTTTGTTTTTATCATTCAGTCAGCCTCGTTTACTATCATGAGCATCATGAAGCTCGTTTTAAAATCTTAATACGCGATATGCATCATGTACATTGACTATACATAAAGTCTATAGCAAAAAAAGTTCTCGAAAATTAAATAAAAAGTTTATTTGTAAATTTTTATTTAAGCAGTAATTTTTGAGATTCATACTATTTTTAGATGAACACTTATAAGTCGTACATGTAATAGTATGCGCACTTTAGATTATGTGATCATGTGATCAATATATTATTGTATTAATATAAATTGCAGTAATTATTTTTTATAATTTATAATACTAGAAATTAATTTTGATGATTTAAAGAATTTATAACATTTATTTATTGGCATCATTAATTTGCGATTAATATTATATCTTGTATAGTAAAATATTAAGAACATTCACATGATTTAAAGTGTGCACTAATACTAATACTAATGTACGCGCGACTCATATATATATATATATATATATAGAATATATATATAGAATATTTGGTATGTAATTAAAATTAATTACTAAAAATTAATTATATAATTTTACAGAAAGTTGATAATAACTACACTGAAATTATTGATATTGATCATATAAAAATTGATAATATTTATAATTTATAGAATAAGTTACACAATAAACTTATATTTTATTTTTGCCTATAGCTGATCAGTTGGTAGGAATGCTAAATTCTGCATTAAATATAAGCGAGACGGAAACAATATTTTCATCACGTGGAGCAACATTATCATCTCCTGCATGTGAAAGTACTGGTTGTCCCTTGTTACGAAGTCATTCACATCCTCAACAATCAATCACGAAGATGATACAACCAATACGTCTTTATCTTACAACTCAGCTATCACAATTGTCTCAACTCTTGGTAAATATTTATTTTACAAAAAGTTTTATGTTGAAAAGATAATGTTAATTAGAAATTAGATAATTTTATAAAGATGTGTTTATAAACATATGTTTATCAAAACTATTTGATTTAGAATTGTATATTCTATTAGAATCTAAACTAATATCTTTTTATTTGTGTCTTACATTTTTATTTGGTTTTTTTAATTTAATAATTTTATAAAATTAGCGTTACTGATATTTACTTGTAATAGAATAAAAAAATCACGCGGATGCTGTTGGATGCTGGTATGCCTAAGTGAAAATGAAGAACAATCCTATCTCGTGTAATTTTCCCAACAGTAGAATGTCAGAAAGTAAGTCTCGGAAGATTCGATTGCCAGAAAAATCCTGCGGAAACGAGTTCTTTTCATCTCGTTTGTGAATCTATTCGAGATTGGAAGTCAGATTATATTTCAGAATGCGAGCATGAATCCAAAAAAGAATTTCGGAGAATTGGAACCTGCATTATTATATTCGAAGCGATGCCGATTCGCAGTGAAATCCCTCAAGTCGTCAGAAACCTTCCTTTTTTTATACTGAGATCAATCCTAGATTTGATTCGGTTCGGTTAAATTCGAAAAGAATTGATCTTAGCACGCGAAGGAAGATCCGCTCATCGGAAAGTTCGGAAGCGATCGGCGATTTTCATCAATATGTAGCGACTTCGGTCTTATTCGGTCGCAGTCGGTTTTTAGGCATTTTAAAGCTCCGGTTTTGGAGAGAAATAAAAAATCATTTCAAGTATTTTATAGGGAGGGGGGAGAATTTTAATGAAAAACAAATATTCTATTTTTAGAAATATTTTAGTATTTTTTAGAATTATAAATTATTGAATTTTAATAAATTGCAGGAGATTATTAAAGAAAGAGAAGAAGAACGAGAGAAGTTACGGAAGGAACTGCATAGGAGCAGAGAACGCATACATGCGCTTAATACTGATGTACAACGTCGTGAATTCTCAGAAATGATAACCACGACAACCTGTACCCAAACAATGCTTGGTTAGTCAATTATTTTTTTTTTTAATTTTACCTATTTAATTATTGTAATTATTGTAATGCTTATAACTTTATATGATATATTTAAAAAATATAATTAGTTTATAATATATTGCTATATGTAACATATAACATTTATCTTTCTAGATGACCTTGTGCATCAAGATAATTGCACCAATGACTTCGCTCATCATGACGTAAGAAAAACCTATTTTATATATGTACCTGTACATTATTTAAAACAAAATGTTAATGAATAAATAAATAATGATAGTTCATAAATAGATAACATAGAAAAAACTTTATAAATTTTCCAATAGAATTTCATACTTGATTATGCAGAATATGTTGAATATGCAGATATGAATCTACAGTTGAATATCTCGTGAAAAATGCAATTTTGAAGAAAAAATTTCAACAAAAGTTTCAAAGGATTCATACTATTATTATATTAATTCGTTTATAGATGGAATCACTATCGAGATCTTTTTAGTATATACATATATAT